ACATTCTCAGTTGCAACTACCACCTAGACCCTCAGCCAGCCATAACCCAGAGCTGTCTCACATTGCAGGTGAACTCCAAGGTTCCTGTCACCCCTTCCGGGGAGGGCTGGTCCCACACTGTGCCTACTGAATGAAGCTGGGCCAGATTAGTCTTATGCCGGGTGAGTAGTTTGTGTTCTGTGACTACTGTACACCCTACTGCTGACAATGTAGGTCAGCATCCGATCTGAAGGCCACAGTTCACACATCGCACATGAAGAGTTCTGCCCAGCTGAGAATGACAGCAATTAGCTAGGTCAGTATGATAAATTTAAAATGGGGAGGACAGTATAAGGCAATCGATACGGAAGAGAAGAAAACCAGAAACTTGCAACTGTAGTGAAGTGTCACCTCAACTACAGAACAGAGTGAAAAGTCATGAATTTCAGCTGGTGAGAGCAGAGTCCCCCAAACTCCAGAACCGTTCTGTCCTGCCACGAGATTCCTCTGTTTTTCTCTGGTTTAGTCAGAGCACAGCATTAAGATTCCTACTTTTACTTAGCTCCAAATATACTGTAATATAGTACTGACTTCTCCAAAATAATTATTTTATTCATGGTTCACTATAGGAACCTAACCAAACCAAACCTCACCCTTTTCTCCGTCCCCACCCTTCCTCAGATCCTCTGAGTCTTACCTTTAACCACCCACAATACACCTGCTCTTCTCTGCCCCTACCGCTGACCCAGATGAAGTCCTTATTTCTAACGAGGTCTAACAAAACAATCTTCTACCTGAGTTTGCTATTTCCTGTCTTGTACCCCTTGAATCCATCATGCCATCAAGAGTTCCAAATTGCTAGAAGATCCAAACACACAAACAAATTCTCTCCCCTATGCCTGTACTTTTGCATCTTTTAAGAGTGAACAGTAGCCTCAAGTTGTCCATGAAGGTTCCCCTGACCCATCTCCTTCACCCCTTCCAGTGCTGCCCTGGGAGATACTCCTCCTGTCTTCTACAGTGCTCTTTATAACTCTTCCCTTACTACTGTTTTATATTGTCTGACCTCTGAGTTAAAGACTGTATCACATTCACTTTTGACTGCCTAGAACCTTGCAAAAAGCAAACACCAAGACTGCTGAACAAATGAATGAAGGGTGAGCAGACATGCGTCCAAACTGCTCTGAAGAATTATGTCCTGTAGCAACTGTGCAATCAATTAGCATTACTGCTTTCCACTTTTCTAGTATATTATTAGATTCACTTAATTCTTTTCATTACCATCTGGTATTTTTAAAGATAATTTCCCAAAATTTTGGCAAAGAGATCCCTGAGAAAAGCTCAGTTTAGTTTTTAAATTTCTTGATTTTAAGGAATAGGCATTTGTACTTGCAGACAATCAAGTATTCACAATAGTATCTGTTTAATCTGAAAAAAATGCAAGAAATTTAACAAGCAATTACATTTAGGAAATGTTATAGATTATCGACCTGGGATGGATGCAGAAGGGGGAGGGAGTTAGGCATACCAAAATTCAACTTACTTGGCTAGATACTGTCAATGCTTCGATTAAAAGTGCAATTCATTACTTGGTCACTCAATCATTACTTGGTCACTGGTCATTCTCAAATTTCACTTATCTGGTATTTTCCCCCAGCTACCTTAAATCATCAAAATAAATGTTATTTTCTGTAGTGTTAGTGTTCCAGTTACTTTTTTCGCTCCAGAGGGAAGTACTTTCAATCTCAAATATTCTTCAGCCAGCATGGTGGCACACCTGTAATCCCAGTACTTGAGAGGCTGAGACAGCAGGATCACTGCAAGTTCAATGCCCGAATGGCCTACACAGCTCCAAATACATAGCAAGATCCTATCTTAAAAACAAAAACAATAACCAAAAAAACTTCAAATAGTCTTCAAAAATTATTGATATGAACATCTATTTAAATAATTAAGCCTCATTAAAAACTGGAAGAGGCAGTATTACGGTATACTGGAGAGAGCACTACATTTGGGGTCAGTGAAAATTACGCATCCAATCCTGGCTTAGTTGTGACTGGGAAAAATCTAACATCCAGGTGCTCCCACTCTCTTGAATCTAAAATAACTCACAATCCTGTCCCGATCTACCAGTGTGTATCAAAACGCTCTGTGAAGCATCCAAATAGTGGAAGTAACTTGAAAAATAAAAAGTGCAAACTACAACTGAAACGTCTGGGCTAGATGAATCCACTGTCATATTCATTTAAAGTAGAATAAAAGTATAACCAAGTGCAAACCTGTCATTTTTGTATTAACTCAATACTGACAAGAACTCTAAACGAAGAGTGTCCGCCCCTGGCTGTTTCAATAGTTGGTATGTGACCACTAAGCAAATGCCTTTTTAAAAATTTTAAAACTCACAATTTTGTACACACACTATCACTTCTCTGCAATTCAGTGAACTGTATGTGTATATCTGTATTAACATCAATTCCCTCAAATCATTCAATGAACAGTACTATTTTCAAAAGCAGTGATTCCAATTTAGAATAACATCTTAAATACAGACTACCTTTAAAAAGAAGAAATTATGATCCTGTTTCAAAAGTATGAAAAATTACTGCTCTGGGCAGCTGCCATGAACTGCGGCCCATCATGCCACCCTGCCTTGGAGCCAATTGAGTACAGACTGAAACCTCCAAAAACTGTAACACATAAACCTTTTTCTCCCCTCCCCCAAAATTTACTGCACTGGAAAATAATTATGGTCAAACTTTTGAAATTCTGTAATATACAAAAACATGAGTAGTTGTTTTTAAAAATGTGTCTTATAATGCTAGCTAAAATCAGTGCAGCAATGACAGGTTAAAAAAATCCACTCTTACTTTATGACTTAAAAAGTTTTCTTACCCACCACCTATGACACTTGCCCTTTATTCCAAAGTCTGTTGCCCAGTACATCTGGTGGGGTCTTCTCAGAAGACACACAGTTAACTAATGGTAACAACAGACGGCACACAGAGACACTGAAATAAGTAACAAGACAAGGAGGAAGAGGAAGAGAGACTGTGTGACAAGAGGTAAGGTTGAGACAAAGAGAAGATTTTTAAAAACAGAGAGGGCGGGGGATTCAGCTCAGCGGCATAAGCACCTGCCTTGCAAGCAGGCAGTCGTTCAATCCTTGCAAGCAGGAGTTCAATCCCCAGTACCGATTAAAAAAAAAAAAAAAAAAAAAAACAGAGACAAATAAGGACAACAACATCTGTTCTTCTAGAAGTAAAAGTTTATGTTTATAACAGTGATGTTTCCAGAAAGAGAATCTCAGTATTACACAACAGAAAGCAGTAAAAAGGCCAACAGGAAGACTAATTGAGACAGCAGTGTCATAAAAACTCCAAACTCCACCGCACTGCACTTAAAGGTGCACTTTTCTCCGACCCAAATCATTAATTTTATGTAAAAGATGTTAGTAGAATTAAGGCAGGCAGTGTTAAATAAACTGTAAAAACACACCTTAGATACTATGGAAATTACACCATCCAGTTCAATCACTCAGGAACAAACTGGGGCCTTATCTTCTACCTGCAATCACAAATGACTGCAGGACCACCAAAAGCTAGGTAAGGATTCTTTAATAATCTACATATATTGCTTCTAATTTTATAAGCTAATGATACCATCAACCATAAACTCAAGTTTGGCAAGTCCAACAAAAGCATTCTATAGCCACAGGAGAAGTAAACATTTCATAACAGCACTGTCCACCCAAATTTTAAAACAAATTACAAGGAATTAACAACTTGTCCTAACATATGAAAAAAAAAAACCAAAGATCTGCTATTTGGAAATTTTCATCCATTTAGATAAAGGAACATTCAAAACTGAAAGATTAAAAAGGACTGTTAAATGAGGCCTATTTTTGTGCACGATTCTTTGCAGCCGAATCATTTGGTAAATTTCTATTGCCATTCTCCATTCCGATTAGATCCTAACTTTCTTATCAAGTTTCTTCCCAAATTTCAGTCCTTTCAAGAATTTAACCACAAAGCTGTTTACACCTTCTTCACACAGGCCACTAGGATCAGAGTAAGACCCTCCCATTGTAGCCAATCAAAATGAGGCTGCTTAGAATGCAAAAGCTCCTGCTTTGGGTTTGGGGCCTAAAACACCAATTTGTTTCCAGACTAATAAACTGGATTTTTTTTTCCTGCCACACAAGTAAACGATGCATGTCATTAATCTGGGCCACATTTCAAAAATCTCTATTACAATTTATAATTTTATATACAATTTAATTGCATAAAGCTTTGTTTTAACCTAGTGAAGGTAGGCAGGTGGAAGGTGGAGGTAAACAAACATAAGCCTAAGGTTGTTTTTAACTGCAGGTGGAAATACAAACCAATTTTTAAAAGACTAAACTTCTTTTTAAAATCCTTGTTTTCAACCAGACTTCACATAATACAAACCCGGAAATATAGGGCATTTCCAATCTGGAGGAGTAGGTGTCTGCTCTCCTAAGACTCGTACTCTTGGCTTTGGTATAAAATACACTGCAATCAAACTTGGGCCCCTGTCCTTTTGTGCCCCTAGACAATCTCTGGCCTAATTTTGGACAAAATCCACTAATTACTTCTCCCCCCTATGGACCCCTGTTCTCCCTTAATTAGAAATCGTATCTTAGAATCGTACCTCACCACCCCCCCCAACCTCCATACGTAAGAGGAGAACGTCTGACCCACCTGGAGAACAATGTAACCCAACTCCAGTCCATAGATTCCTCCACCCAAGCCCTAAGATTTATCTTACAGGGCAATCAAAAAGCGAGTCGCGTCCCGTCACCCCGAATTCCCTCAAGGTGTCCTCCTGGCCGGCCCAGGATTCCCAGCTCCTTCCCCACCTGGGGGCATTGCACTCCCGTCCTTTCCCAGAGAACCTCGCCCCGCACCCTCGGACCTTCCTCCGGACCGCGGCGCCTCTCAGGCAGCGGAACACGCGGACAATCGCCTCGAAGGTCGGGGTCGGGACCCCGTGCCCCGTACCTTTGTAGTGCACCCGCAGGTTGTTCTGAGATAGACCAATGTAGCTGAACTTGTCCTTCGGGCTCCAAGACCGAGGCAGCGGCGTCTCCTGCTCGTCCACGGCAGGGTAGAGGCGCCTCAGCCGCCGCTGCAGCTCCTTCTCCTGCTCGTTGAGGGCCGAGTCCCCGTGCGGGAAAGGGGCCGCGGCGCTACTGCCCGCCGCCAGGGCCGGGGCGGCAGGGGCGACCGGCCCAGGGGGCACGGGGAGCGCTCCGGCCGTGGCGGCAGGGCCGGGGGGCGGCGGCGGCGCGGCAGTGGTCGGAGGCGGCGGCGGCGGTGGCGGCGGCGGGGGATGGAGGAGCAGCGCGGACGCCGCGGTCCCCAAGCCGCCGCCGCCGCCGCTGCCGGGCGAGCCGGCCGGAGAGGAGCCGACGACGGCCGGGGACACGGGCAGGACGCCGGGACCTGGGGCCACGGCCGCGGGGGGCGGCGGCGGCAACTGTGGCTGCTGTTGTGGCGGCGGCGGCGGCTGCCCGGACATCCCGGCCGCGACTCAGCCTGCGGCCGCCTCCACCTCTTCTTCCTCCGCTTCCCGGGGGCGCTGTCGCGGCGGCCGGCGGCACCAGGCGCTCAGTCCGCCCGCCCCGGAAGCAGGCGCGGGCCGCGCGCCCGTGGAGAGCGCGGCCGTTGGGGGACTTGGCGGGCAGGAGCGGGCTGCTGGCGGCCCGGAGAGCCCGTTGATCGGAGCACGGGCGCGCGGCCCGGGGACCAGGCGACGCGGGAGGGCTCACGGAAAGGAAGGCGCTTGGGCAACCGCGGATGTTTCCCGGCGGGCTGGCGAGCGCGAGACGCTGCGCGCGGGCGGCGCTAGCGAGGGGGCGGGACGGAGGCCGAGAGGCGGGGACGGAGGCCGGGAGGCGGGGACGGAGGCCGGGAGGCGGTCCCGCAGCCGGGCGCCGCTCCCCTTCAGTCACCGCTCCCCGGCTGGCAGGGGCTGTGACGCTGTGGATCCCTTCTGAGCCGGCAGCAGCCTCCCGCGAGCCGCCCGTCGCCGGGAGTCTCCTCCCACCTGACTTCTTTTTGTTGTTGTCGCCCCACCTCCCCGCCGAGCCGAAGTGCCGCTTCTCGCCCAGGCCAGAGTAATCGAGCCTCGCTGTGGCCGCCGCGAGCGCGACCGGAGGGCGTCCCGGAAGCGCGGGGACCCGGACAGTCGGCACCTGGAGCGCGGCCCCCGCTCGGCGGTCCGCGCCCGATCCCGCTCCCGCTGCTGCTCGCCGCCTCCTGCTTCGGGAACTTCCTGCTTTTCCTTTAATCCCGTAACCTTGACCGTGTGGGCAGTGGAAACCATTTCTTAAGGCAAAATCTTCCACTTAAAACAGTGACTATTTCATTAATTTTACGAGGACTCCAAGTGAATTTAACCGGGAGGCAGGAGTCGCGTTGGAAATACTAATGCTGTCTGGCGTACCTTCAAAGAGTGGGAACACCAACTGTACGAATTCCAGGCGGTAGTGTGTATAATGTCTAGAGACCTCAAAACATTTTATAGGCTCGTTAAATCTCATTGCAAGCCTTTGTTAGGTAACAGCATTATGCCCATTTTTTTTTTTAAAGAAGGAAACAGTCACTGAGGTTAGCAGAGTCAAAAATAGGACTTCCTGCTTTGCAGTTCCCAATAGAGTGCTTGGTCAACTAATTTGGCAAGTGTTTCTCGCTGACCCATCATAGCATTACTATTTTGTTTTCACCACTTCCCTTTGTTTAGTTTGTCTTTTCTCTGGCTGGCAAAATTAATGTTTACACGTGTGAAATGCGTAGTATTGTTTCTGATATTTTATTTGCTTCCGATGATGTTTATGATTATACTGTTGTGAAATAAGGAATTTGGCTGAGCAGAGAATTCTTTATTTTGTTTTGACTCATATTAAGTCAACAGTGATTTAATTGAAGCTCCTCAACTCCTGGGTGGAATTAATAATCACTCATAGTAATAATCACTCATAGTAATTTTCAATTACGGGAACAACTAGATGTCCAGTTGTTCTTTGATAAAAATAATGATTGTAACCTGTTGTTTTGAAGACTTTATTCGGGTCTCTGCACTTTAAATCACATGATGTTATTGTATTTAAATTGTATATACTGCCTGGCATAGGGGTGCACAGCTGTAATCATAGCACCTGGAAAGCTAGGTGGGAGGATTTTGGTGAGGATAAGGTCAGCCTGAACTATACAGCGAGAGCCTATCTCAAAAATAAATAAGTTATTCACACTTTCATTTATATTATGATAACAATAAGTTCAATATAAGCCAAGCACAATTTAAATGTAGGCTAGCAATGGTAAAAGAAATGAATTCCAGTGCTCATCATATTTTCTTGAAACAGTCAAGATTTTATTTATGAAAATGTACTTTTTTCCATCAGCACACTTAGAAACCACTTAGAATTTTATTCCTAGGAACGATTAAGGGAGTAAAATTACCTGACATTTCGTTAGAACCTTTTTCACTGGTTGTTCTCCAAACAAGCAACCTCAAGAAACTAATCAATACAGTTATGGAAGAAGACACTGTGAAATGGGTACTTCCTCCTAGGAGAAAGGAGACAGTAGAAAACATTGATAATGTCATTTGGGAAAGTCACATACTTAGTGATATTTATAAAAAGACACAAAAGTACCCGTGCCCTTTGGCTTATCCATTCAAAGAATAAAAACCAAGCAACAAAATTTAAATGTGTAAGTGCTTTAGGCCTAAAAATTTCAACAAGAGATTAACGATAGATGACATATTCCAAATAATAATTTGGAATCAAATTCAATGCTGACTTGATTCATTTTCTTTCGTTGCTGGGACAAAATACCCAACACCCAAAATGAAGGAAGGAAAAATTATTTAGCTCACAATTTGTGGAGGTTACAGTCCATAATCAGCCAGGCCAAGGCAGGGTGGAGTGGCAGAGAGGCAACAGTTTGTAGTAGCGGAAGATAGAAAAAGCATCAAGAGCATAAAAGGGAGGAGAGCGTTAAGAGATGACTCTCTTTCTTATATTGTGTTTACGCTACCCACCCTAGAGTGGGTATAGCACTCACACTCTTATCCCAGCACTGGGCTATGAATCAATCACAAATTCTAGAGGCCCACCCCCAGGACTGTATAAGGCTTTGGGGGACATCCAGACACAAACCATAACAAATGCCCAACATGAAGGGCATTATCCTATACCCCACTCAACAGAATTGGGTTACAAAAACATATAACATATTTATGTGATTTTTTAAAATGTATCCCTCCTGGGCAGTGAAATTTCCAGATAATTCCAACAAATTAGAAGTTTCCCCTATTCAACTCAGTGATCTCAGGCCCAATTTCTGGCCTCCTCCTTCCAGCCTTTCTTGTATTAAGTATGAGCTAAAACAAATATTGTATGGCTTCTTAAAAATATAATTTTGAAGACATGGAAAAATGATTATGATGTAAATGAAAAAACCTATACAATAATTATAGCACCGCTCAAATCATTAGCAAACAAACATAAAACATAAAATGTTTCTATAATGGACAATTATACAATCAAAATAAATTTTTATTACAAATATATATTATATACAGGTATAAATGGTAAAAATCCATTAGCCATGAAGCTACATTTTCAGTCTTTACCATTATTGCTACAATTTTACTATTTACAGGGTTTTTCAATAGCAAACAGAGCCAAGTGTGGCTGTCTGAAGCAGAGAAAGAATTTACTGGAACAAAATTGAATGGTTCTCAGAATTGTCCAGAAACCCGGACAAGTTGAATTGAAAACAAAGGCCAAAAGAGGACACACAACATAGACTGGCTCTGACCCCAAGGGTCACAGAAATCCCCCCATATACCATCTTTAGACTCATCTCTCTGACACCCTAAGCTTTACAACTCTCACTCCAACTTTGAAGTTGACCAGGTCAATATTGTGAGCCCATGCCAGGACTAGCAGTAAGAACTTAGGCAATGATTGGGTTATTGGGATGCTAAGTTATTGATACTTTCAGTTCTGGGTGGCCCAATATGTATTGGTTAAAGACTCCAGAGCTGATCCTTCTGCCAGTGAGCATTCTCATGCATCCATGGAGTACCTTACAAATCTTATTTCCTGTGTGTGGTCAGACATGAATACCCCTAGAACATATAAGAAAGTGCCAGAACATAGTAAGAAAGGGCCAGTGATGCCCACCACAGAAGTTTTCTATATCATGAAAGGAGCTCAGATATCAGCCAGCTTGTTTCAGGAAATACCCATAACAGTATACTTCTATACACTACAAAATGTCATCACAGTGTGTGCCAAAATCTACAATATGGGTGTAGGGTCTGTATTAATTTTCTTTTTCTGCATAGAAATCACCACCTGAACTTAGCATCTTAAAATAATATTATTCCATAGTTTTATGGAGCAAAAACTGGTTCAACTTCACTGGATCCTCTGATTTAGCATCACTCAACCATTTCAGATGTCAGGGGGATGCTGTCATTTCAAGTCTTGACTGGAGAAGGATCATCCCTTAGTTCACCCATGTGGTTTTTGATAGGATTCAGTTCTTCAAGAGCTTTAGACCAAAGGTTTCAGTTCCTTGCTAGTTGTTGACCAAAAGTAGTTCTCAGTGCTTTGGACCATTGGACCTCTCCAACATGGCAGCCAGTTTCATCACAGTGTGAAAGCCAGGAAGGCAACAGTGATGAGACAAAAATCATCATCTTTTACAACTAAACCACAGGCATGACAACCCACTGCTTTTACTGTGATCTGTTTGTTAGAAGTAATTCACTACAGCCCATGCTGAAAGAAGATAAAACAAAGCCATTTACAGGAGGAGGGTAGGCATTGAAACCTGCCTGTGGCATAGTTGTTACAAGTTCCAGTGACTCCAGGACACTAGCCTACCACATTCTCATCATACATAGCTTCTAGCCCAGAAATTGGCAGACTTTTCCTATAATGAGATAGGTTGTGAATATTTTAGGCTCCATTGGCCATATGGAGCCTGCTGCAACTATTTGACTTTGTCTCGATGGAGGAAAAGTAGCCACAGATAATACACAAACAAGCACGTGTAGGTATGTGTCAATGAAATTTTATTTATGGAAAAAAGGAGGCAACAGACTGGACTTGGCCCACAGAATATGGTTTGTGATCCCTGTTCTAGGTCTTATATCAACAGTTACTAAGTAAGGAGTCCCTGTAGAAAGCCCTCTGGACCTCCTTACTGTCCAGAAAAGTCCACATTGTAATCCCATGGAAAAGTTATTGGAATTCCAATAAATGAATTCCAATCTATCACTTTCAGTGCAACACACAGCAAGAATAAAGACACTAAGGCATATCTGTAGTTGTGAGGAGCGAGGGGTCCCTAAATCCAGCTAGAACAACGGCTAACTGGGACAAAGACCTGGACCCAGGGCCTAACCCACGTTTTATTAATTTATGAAGAGGGAAGAGGCTCCGAATAAGTGGCTGTGAGAATGGCAGGAAGTACGTGAGTGCTCTGAGCTGAGCTTGGTAGAAGGCTTGAAATCACCTTTGCAATATGCAGAAAGAGATATACGAAAAGATAAATCTGCATAACACAGATTGGGGTAGGGGCTAGTGTTTTGGGGTCAGTGCTTCAGTTCTGACGCCCTGAGAAGTCATAGCTTCTTTTCTCAAG